GATGCTGCCTCCGATTTCTCCGGCGGGAACCCGGCTCCGGCTTCTCATGTTGGTTTTGTCATCTCTGAGAGATCTAATAATCTGGATCATCTGTTCATCCAGTTCGGTGAGATCTTTGACCAACGACCGATCAAGAGACGGGGTTAGAGTCTGAGGTAGAGAGATGATTTTGTTTTCCATGTGTTGTTTGCATAAGTGAGTCCAAGCTTTCATGAACATGATCAACGTTTTTCCGTCTATGACGGCGTGGTGTGCAGCGTAGCCGATGGAGAAACCTTGGTTCGGGAATAACGTGATTTGCAGAGAGAAGATGGACCCTGAGTCATCGGAAAACGGCAAATCGGGTGTCAAAGTGTGTAACTCGGAGGCTGGACGTTGTCCATAACTGGAAAGATGAGAGAAATCAGCGTCAGTGTCGGCTATTGTGACCAAAACGCGTCATTTTGAGAGACGACGATCCTGGGTTTGAGCTCGTCTTGGTTCCAGGTGATGCATCCGCAGAGAGGGAGGTAGCTGCGGAGGACGAGTGAAAGAGATAATTTGAGATTAGGGAGGATAAAGGAGTGGAAATGCTTACGAGTCGATTCGGTGAGTCTATAGAAGAAGACTTGTTTGACTCGCGGGATCAATAGCCACCGTAGATCGAAGAAAGTCAACGGCATAGTAAGCGAGTTGGCCGAGTTTCGGAATGAGTCTGAGCCAGGGTAAGGGATGATTTGGGCAACCTCAACGACCAGTAGAGTCATTTGTGACTAACAAGGTAAAAATCTATCGGCGTTGCCAAAAACTTCGCATATTCAATCAGAACAAAATAATAATAGACAGAGGAACATAATTTGCGAACGTTATGTACATATATTTATTAACATTTAGAGGTTCAAAGCACGTTGTAAACTTTTTTAAATACAATAAAATCATATCGTATCCTCTTAAACTAATTTGTTTACACCAGCTTGCGGAACCGAGGTGTTAGATAAATCAATACCATGTAATATTTAAATGGGAAAACGGTCATTTTAATACCGAACTATCCGTTTAAGCCAAAATAATTATCAATTTTCTAATGAGTCCAAAAAATATCAAACATTGGTTGACTCGGCCAAATTATGTATAGAATTAGTCAACTTTAACAGCCGTTAACTACCGTTTATTTTATCTATTAAATTTCAAAACGGCATAGTTTTGAAATTATAAAAAAACCCTCATAAGGTCATTTGAATACCAAACTTTTTATTTTGAGTAAAAAAAGTACCAACTTCTTAATGATCCATAAAATACACAAACTTATGTTGACTCAACCAAATTAGGTATAAAATTAGGCAACTTTAGCCAGAGATAAAGTGTGGAGACATGGAGAGCCGAGATCCTTGAATGTTATAACCTGAGTCCAGAGACATGTTAAAACATGAGATCCCTGGAAACCGTAACCAGAATCCAGAGACCTGGAAGGGCGAACTTGCTCTATAGGACCGAGCTGCATAGGAGTGATATTCTGAGCAACTATTATCCCTTTCCTTTTAATTTGTTTTCAAAAAAGAATAGAAAATTTAACTGTTAAGGCCGTACCAGGTTGCCAAAACATCAAGATTACGTTTAACGATCCATGAGTACTTAGCGGTAAAATAAAAAAACCTAACGACCCCAAACAGAGTGATGATGTTACTTAGCTGGAGTTTTGACGATGAGTC